GCGGCTGAAATAAAGTAACCTGTGCTTGACATTATTGCTGTCAGTGGCTTACAAGTACACACAAGTGAATGGAAGGCACTCTGTTATCAAGTTTTCATACTACATTTGCCTTTTATTTGACTGGCTTTGATTTTGTGTGTTTTCTTAAGCATGGATTTCAGTACAGTAATCCGAGAGGTCAAGGTCACAATGACACAATGTTGCTTTTTCTGATGGGTTTGTTAAAATTTGTGTATAGACAAATCCTATACAGAAAAGTTGCTAAATCTTTGTTGCGTACAAAATCTATTAAATCCATAAAATACAGTTCTGTAAACTGAAACACACATATGGGGTAAGTTGTCACAAAGAGAACCTGCTTTTACCTGAGTAAACATGGCACTTTATGCAACGTATTTGTCTGTTTATTGAATTTTTTGCTCAATTTAAACAGTAAAACAATTATGAAACAAATATGTGACAACTTCATATCCTCCTGGGACCCAGGCATAGACTTTTGTCCTCTGTAGAGGACATTATATTTTGGTGAATTTCTCTGAGACCATACACGCCACAGTTTTATTATACAGTCTGGATGTCCTGTACGGAGCACATTCAGGGCTTTTTAGAGATATCAAATGTTTGGAGGTTTGATCATAAACACACCTTCTCCTTGGTCTTTAAATATGACTAATATTGACAGAATGATCAAGTTTAGCACTCTCAGGGAAATATGATAATATTTTGTAATTATGTAAATCTGGATAATTTTCAAATTGTTTGTCGTAAATAAACATCTCAGAAAAATGTTATGGGATTTCAAATCGGAATATCACTTTTTGTTGCCAAGTTATTACTCCCGTCCCATTATTACACTTCTTTTTCATAATGGTTTGCCCCAAAAACACATTAACATGCAAATGAGATGCAATGCATAGATAGGCAAAGCAAGTTTATTTATATAGCACATTTCATACACAATGGTAATTCAAAGTGCTTTACATAAAAGGAAGTAAAATAATCATTTTTTAAAAATCACAACAATAAAACAGGGAACTTAAAAACTTTTAAAAGGATTTAGAAATTGATTTAAAATGAATTTAAAAATAGAAAATGATACATAAAATACAGTGCAATCAGTTCGGACATCGCACAGTGCTCATTCAATAAATGCACAGCTAAACCGATGAGTTTTGAGTCTGCATTTAAATGTGACTAATGTTTTAGCACATCTGATCTCTTCTGGAAGCTGATTCCAACTGCGGGCGGAAAACAATTTATTGACATTTTACACACATATTGCATAACGTAAAATAGTATATCAAGTCATTCTGTTAGCCTATATCTTGATATACCATAGTTGAGAATCATCTTTGTACAAAGTTTGGTTAAAAATAGCCTGAAACCTAAAAACTGATTGGTGAATGTAGAAATAAAATATTGATTTTGCCTATACATGCCATTCATTTGTTTCTTATGCTCCAACCAATCTAATAACATAAAAATAAAAATAAATCACAACTTTTTTTTATGGTTCTCAAGAGGATATTATTATTATTTTGTTGGTTTTATAGAATTACAGCTGGGGGTACATTAGGATAAGCAAAAATACTGTTGTAACAATAAGAGTGTCTCAGATGCCCCGATCACACAGTTTGTGAACTGCAGGATACTGAAGAACCACAGACTGCAATGGTAACATATGATAGCATACCTCTAATTTCTTTACATTTATAATTATATGTTACAATTATATCTTTCTTAGCTTAAGGAGTTTGTTGCAACCAGCACTGATTCACCTCTCGCGTATTAGAGGCCAATGGGCCTTTACAAACTCAATAACTACTGTGTTAGATTTTGGATATTATAAATGTATTCAATAATGACTTTGTGTAATATATTATTTGTTTCAAAGCTGGTTATAACATTATGATTAATATCTGACCCCAGATGAAATCCGCAGACTTTTTGCACATTTATGACTGTGATTTTGAGGGGAAATCTGTGTGTTTGTAGGGAAGACCTGTGGGTCCGCGAGGGCAAGATTCTGAACCCAGAGAAGCTGTTTTTCGATGAAGAGGGTTTTGCAGATCACAAAGTTGACTGCGGGAATAAAATCATTGCACCTGGATTCATAGATGTACAGATAAATGGTAAACAAGACTCTGAAACCAGCATAAAGCTAATGTAGAAGGACAGCGAGTTGTCATTGTTACATTCACCAGTTTATGTTAAAGTTGCTGTGTTCTTACTGATATCTTGTAATGCTAAGCTCCTCCCCTCTTCACACTCATAGGTGGATATGGCATCGACTTCTCCCAGGCCAGTGGTGACATCAGAAGAGGCGTGGCTCAGGTGGCCAAAAAGATTCTAGAACACGGTGTCACTTCCTTCTGCCCGACCCTGGTCACGTCTCCACCGGACATATACCATAAGGTACAATCTATACACCTGTCACTGCCCTTCATTAGTCTCTTAGATGCTCAACCACACACACAAATACATCTCTGCTCTTTTTCCTTGAGATAGCTCTGTATCTAGGAACAAAATGCTGGAACTTTTTGTGCTCTTATGCTATTCTGTTCACCAAGGCTGCATTTATTTGATCAAGAATATAGTAAAATCTGTAATATTATGAAATATTATTACAGTTTAAAATAACTTTTCTATTTGAATATATTTTCAAATGTATTCATGATCCTTCAGAAATCAGTCTAATATGCTGATTTGCTGCTCAAGAAACATTTCCTTTTATTATCAGTGATAAAAACAGTTGTGCTGCCTAATATTTTAGCACTAGTAATGTTGCTGTCTTTCTCTCCACAGGTCATTCCTGAGCTCAGAGTTCAGGATGGAGGACCTGAAGGGGCAGGCGTTTTAGGTAAGATGTGCACACAAAATAAATAGACTTGATTTACTTTATTCAAATTGTAATGTGTGTTGACCAGGATTTTTAAACTAAAACCATTAAAAAACATTTTTGTTACTAGTTTGACTTGATGTACTAAAATGACTGAAATATAAATGAATAAAAACTAAACAGATATTTAAATAAACTAATAAAATGACAAAAATAGACAATAAAATGACTAAACCTCGAAGAACAGAAAATATAAAAATAAAATCGAATTCAAAACATTGATTAAAAACTGTAGTAGTAGTATCTCAATTATATTAAAATAACACTGATGCTGACATTTCTTTAGTAGTGTTGATATTTTATTGTATATTTGCAAAATGAATTACCCTTGTTTGTTTCAGGTATTCATCTGGAGGGGCCGTTCATCAGTGAACAGAAGAGAGGAGCTCACCCTCCTAAGTTCCTCCGCACTTTAAAAGCGGGGGGCGTGGCCGACCTGATGGAGACTTATGGGCACCTAGACAACGTCGCCATGGTGACCCTCGCACCAGAACTAGCCAATAGCGCGGCTGCAATTCGTGAACTGTCAGGAAGAGGCATAGCGGTGTCACTTGGTGCGTATGTGAATTATTTATTTCTTATTATTTCTGATCAATTTCTCAACTGGCTGAGCATTTCCAAAGTGTTTCTCTTTCCAGGTCACTCTATGGCTGATCTCTCTCAGGCTGAAGAGGCTGTGCAGAATGGAGCCATGTTCATTACACACTTATTTAATGCCATGCTGCCTGTTAGTATCAGACACACACATACGCATACATATTAATGCAAAGGCATACATACACGTATGCACATTCAGTAATTAACAGTTATTTGCTTTAGATTACACACTGTAAGTTTGTGCACACATATGTATGTTTAGAATAAGACCATATTCAGAGTATGCAATTGCACCATGCAAACAAATTGATTTTTACGAGAAAAAAATCGAAATAATTAAATAATATGGAGATGCATACCAACACACCAGGTATTTAACATTTTGTTTTGTTATAGTTTCATCACAGAGACCCGGGCATTGTGGGATTGCTTACAAGTGATCGTATTCCACCAGGTCGGATGGTTTACTACGGTATGATCGCAGACGGGATACACACACACCCTGCAGCGCTGCGCATCGCACACAGAGCTCATCCTGCTGGTATTCACACACACACACACACACACACACACACACACATCTGTTCATAATACTGATAGTAAATCAGTTAATGCATGCATCCCTGTCAGATTCTCTCTGTAATTAATTAGCGAGTTAATCTGTGTGTAAGAATAGAGTGTGTGTGTGTGTGTGGGGCAGGGTTGGTGTTGGTCACTGACGCTGTGACAGCGATGGGTCTGCCTCCTGGTCAACACACACTCGGACAGCAGCAGATTGACATCCAGGGGCTTCACGCTTATGTCGCAGGTTGGCATCATATTCTACCTGCTCTCAGTGTGTAGCAAATTAACCCAGGTGCATCTTATATTTAGTAATACATTGTTTGTATGTCAGTGGAGCAGTGTTAAGTTTAACTTTGCACTTGCTGAATTTGGGTCAATTTCTATTCACCAACTTTTTAGATCAGATTATTTAAATTCAATTCAGAAGGTGAAAGGCATTTCAAACCATACAGATAAGTTTGAGTTAAATTCTTTGTAATATTACCTCCGTTGATCTGACTGATTATAGGGCTATTTTAGAGTACTTTTAATAAGGGTATAATTATTTTGTGTAATTCTTTTAATATTTTTAATATTATATCATTTAAAATATTGAATAATAAATTGCACAGGTAAAATATATATGCACAACTGTTTAAAAAGTTTGGGGTCGGTAAGATCTTTTTGTGTTTTTGAAAGAAGTCTCTTCTGCTCACCAAGGCTGCATTTATTTGAAAAAAAACAGTAAAATTGTGAAATATTATTGCAATATAAAATAACAATTTTCTGTTTGAATATATTTGAAAACTAATTTTCATTTTTAAAAGTTAAAGTTTTAATTAAAAAAATAATATACAATTTTAAAAGTAATTTATTCCTGTGATACAAAGCTGAATTTTCAGCATCATTACTCCAGTCTTCATTGTGACATGATCCTTTGCTGCTTATTATTTTTGTGGAAACCATGAGACTTTTTTTTTGATTAATAGAAAGCTCAAAAGAGCAGCATTTATTTGAAATAGAAATTTCTAAACATCCTTACTGTCACTTTGAATGTGTCCTTGCTGAATACAATTATTAATTTATTCAAAAAAGAAAAGAAAAAGAAAAACACTTACTGACCCCAAACTTTTAAATGTTAGTGTATTTTGGAAGGTTTTGGGGGAAAGTATTTGATGGGTCTGTATAATGTTGTATTTTTTTGTAATATTTTATCATGCATTTTTATTATGTTATTTTACTTTGAAATGTTTTGCGTGGTATTATTATTTAGGCCTATTGCTCTTATTTATATGATGATTTTGAGTGTTTTGTTTACATAGATTTGTGGTGCTATACCAGAAAAATTTCCCTTAACAGCATGTTTTATTCATTCATACACAATTTCAGGCACTACAACTTTGAGTGGCAGCATTGCGACCATGGACATGTGTGTGAGACACTTCAGAGAGGTGTCAGGTCAGTGTGTGTCAAGTGTGTGTCTGATTAAGCTTGCATGTAGGAATCCTGAGGAACGGGTTGCATGTTATTCTATTACAGAACTTAGTGTGCCCATCATAGAGGTTTTATACTGATGTTTGTGTAGGCTGTACAGTAGAAGCTGCATTAGAAGCTGCATCGCTGCATCCTGCTCAGCTGCTGGGTATCAGTCACAGGAAGGGAACGCTGGAGTACGGCACTGATGCAGGTATAAATATGTCTTTTTGGGGCTTATTTTAAAATGTACATAGTCACTTATTAAAGGAATAGTTCACTCAAAAATGACAATTTACTGAAAATGTACTCGCCCTCAGGCCATTCAAGATGTAGATGAGTTTGTTTCTTCATCAGAACAGATTTGGAGAAAGTGAGCACTTGCTCACCAATGGAACCTCTGCAGTGAATGGGTGCCGTCAGAATGAGAGTCCAAACACGCCTTAATGATGGATTTGCTTCTTACAAACATGTAGCTTTTCTCTTCACAAGACATTAACTGATGGACTGGAGTGGTGGGGATTACTTGTGGATTATTGTGATGTTTTTATCAGCTGTTTGGACTCTCATTCTGACGGCACCCATTCACTGCAGAGGATCCATTGGTGATCAATACTCAATTTCTCCAAATTCGTTCATATGAAGAAATAAACTTGAGTTTGAGTAATTTTTAGGTGAATTACTCCTTTAAACTCATACACGATATTCAGAAAAGCTCATGCGCATTTAATGTGTTAATAGCATATCACAGCATTGCCACTTTTGCTGTGATTTCCTTATGTCATTGTATGTGATCCTCTTTGATGGAGAAGCATATACTAGAATATATGAAGGTCTAATTGCACATTTAAGGGTTATTAGCGGTTAAGACATTATTGTGTCCACTGGATAGGTGATGTGTTTTTTATATGAAATGCATCGAGTTATGTGTGTTGTTTTGTAGATTTCGTAGTGCTTGATGACACACTGACAGTCAGGGAAACCTACATTGCTGGACAGCAGGTCTGGAGGAAGTGACATCATCTGGAGGACTGTCTTCGGCTGGGATCGTTCGAGTTTTTTGGTTAGAATTTTTTTCTTTCTTCGGACTTGGATCACCAAAAAGACACATTAGTGCAAAAACATACATGTTATTCTCTCTCCTTAAATTTAATTCTATTGGTTAATCCCTGAATATAAGAACTACTCCATATATACAAACACTGTTATGATACTCTTTATGCTCATGTACTGTAGCTGAATGCATCTTAGGGCATTCAAAAAAGAGCCAGAATCATTTTTATCACATATTGTGTGCATGGATGTGTGTGGATGTCTAACACAAATCTGACTTGTTCAAATGTGAAAAACAAAAGTAAAAACATCTCAAGGGTCCAGTTATTTCAGTAATAACCTACATAATTCAGTGCTCCCAAACTGGACAGTTTAACCAACTGATTTCAATCATGTTTATATTCTGTACTTTTTATTTGTTAACATTGTTAAGGTTTTATCAGTTTTCAGTATGTTCCTTTACTGATAAAAATGTATTTTTGTGACTCTGAATGAGGAAGATGCACATATGATAGATGCATTAAAGATATCCAGTTTACTTGCACCGATTATCTGTTCAATTCAATGCAACATTAAAACCCAATGCAAAGAATTCTAATCTTACGTCTTGACAACACAACTTTATTAAAAAAATTACTTAAATCTCACATAAAAAAGCAGCTTCTATTAAAAAAATGTATATTGCTTAAGTTAATGGACTGATGGCTTGACTTCTTTGTTTTGCACAAACTGAGTCAAACTCCTCAGAGTTGGTCCTTTGAACAACAAATCCTTGATCGGTCCTTCAAGTCATCAGGGCTGGGCGATACAATACAATAAATGCAATATACAGTATATATCTCGGTATTCTGTACATTTTCTATTTGGATTTAAAAATATATGTATGTAAATATATATATATATATATATATATACAAATGGCTGCAATATAACAAAGAGTGAAAAATTTAAGGGGGTCTGAATACTTTCCGTACCCACTGTATATATAAATGTTTTAAACATCCTGCCCAATGTTGTCCAGTGAATTATATAGTGAAATTAGGCTTTGCAATCCATTATGTGCAAAAAAGGGGCTAAAATCCCATTACATTCTAACATTGTAACAACATTACAATCTAAAAACCAAAATAATGCTTTTTAAGGCAGCAATTCACTAAACTAAAAATTAAAGTAAATGAACACAAGAGCACAGATTAATTGCATTTTATTTTTGATAACCCCGTTACTGCTATCTGCTATCATAAAGTACACTTACTTGTAGGTTTAAAATTCTACATATGAAATTCATACATATTATTGCGCTCCGTCTGTTTGGTGGCACTCGTTCACAGAAGTCTATGAAGTTTAGTGGAGAATTGCATGCAGCAGGCTCCTGACAGCAAAATGGAAATATTTCCATGAGAGACGGAGAATATACCAGTAAAATATAAGTTGTGCACTGAGGAAAACAGCACATCTCAAACTTATTAAACAGCAGCACATGAGTCTGTCAGAGCATCTGACGGGGCGAGCCGCTTTAAACTATACATCTTAACTATATCTTATACTTAACATGAGTTATTTTAAAGCCCTTAATATAAAGCATGTCTCATGTTTAGGACACTTTATTATGCATTATGCACTTTCCCCGCAAACTCGATATACCACCCAGCCCTAGTGACCACCACATCAGTCTTTACCTCAGAAAAGTTTAAATGAAAACGCTGGTGTCCAGATTTAGAGTTGCATGCCACCAACGATCTATAAAATACAGCACCTGTGCAAAAACATTGGGTTTCATCTCTGGAATACATGATTTTGACTGTACTTCAACCCTTATTTAGTGCCTAGTGGTGAAGTGTATAGATGGGTTCAAAATGCACACTGTTCAAAAAGGAAGAAAAGTTTGTTAACCTCACCTCTCCGGGGTCGTATGGTGCACTCCAGGGGCCTCTTTTTAAATAAAAGTTACGCCTTCTTTCTTTGCGTGAACATTTGGGCGGCGTTATGCAAATCTTCCCACATAGCGAGGTAGATATGTGAGGGCGTGTTAGAACAAGCCGTTTTAGGTAGGCGTTTTAGAATATCTCTTTGGATTTGAGACTTTAGTCTTTGCAACTTTACAGATCTTCTTTATGCACCAAGAGGTTGTAACACTCCAAAGAGAAAGAAAAAACTGAAATCGCATCATATGACCCCTTTAAGAAAAAATATAGGAACAACTGAAACCACACGTACGCAAAAATCACTTACTCTGTACGGCCTTATAATCGTGTTAAGAAGTTATATTTCATCCTAACCCAACTATAATTATATTGTGTTATGTTGCATTAATTGTATTATATAATCCATATATATATATATATATATATATATATAATAAAAATATTAAATAATTTAATTTCATCTTGTATACATTCCATCATATACAGTGAAAGAGTGAGAAAAGCTGCGTTATAGCTTCAGCTGTGAGGTTTCTGAATAATGCAGATATACGAGCATGTACAGCTGGCAATCTGTACAATCTGTAATCTAGGTCTGTATAAAAGGTGTTTATTGTGAGATCTGGTGAGAATGACACACTTGGCATTGCTCGAGAATCAGGTGAGTATGGAAGCTTGTTTCCACCACGGAATAAAACATTTTAAAAGATAATTGCGGCTATTTATCTCACAAGTAATCCACACCACTCCAGTACATCAGATAACGTCTTGTGAAGCCAAAAGCTATGTTTGTAAGAAACAAATCCATCATTAAGGCAATTTAAACAGTTGCTTCTGGCCAAAATAGCAGTCCATAATGATTCTTTCAGTTAAAAAATCCTTCCCCTTTTGTCCTCTCACATGAAAATCTACTGATAAATTTGTTGAGAACTGTTTTGGACTGTTTTCTAAACAGTGCTTGATCTTTGCATATTTCTCTCCTGATTCAGACCAGCTGATTTTTTTTTTTCACGGGAGAAAAAAATATTATGCAACAGTTTAAAGTTAAAACACATTAATTATGGATTTGTTTCTTACAAACATGCAGTTTTTCACTTCACAAGACATTAATTCATGGACTGGAGTGGTGTGGATTACTTATGATGTTTTTTTATCAGCTGTTTGGACTCTCATTCTGACGGCACCCATTCACTGCAGAGGATCTACTGGTGAGCAAGTGATGAAATGCTACATTTCTCTAAACTGTTCTCATAAAGAAACAAACTCATCTACACCTTAGATGAAATTTACACCTACACCTTAAGCAAATTTTCATTTTTGGGTGAACCTTTAACGGGTGAAAATGTGTACGTGCACTCCAAAAAAACAAATTAGCTGGATCGGAGAGTATGTATTTGCTCATACCAGCAATCCCAAAGCTATATGCAGGATGCGTGAATGAAAGAGAAAAAGATGGCGCTTCATATTCTTCAAACAGCGAATGCCACTCCGTGAAGTTATTGTCTCCAAAGAAGTACAGCGTATCTGAAATACAAATACACACACATTATGAAATCATGCACAGTGGGGAAAGCTTGTAGAAGGCACCGATTTAGTGTGTGTGTGTGTGTGTGTGTGTGTGTGTGCAGAAGATGAGAGAGAACTGACCACTGTCCAGGATGTCTTTAGGCTGAGGCGTCAACGGGAACTTCACAAACTCTTCAAACCGCACATCCACTGTTAAAAGAAAAAGATATTGGAAATATAAATAGAGCAATATAAATCACTTACACAGTACGCTACTGTCTGGGCTCAGTATGATTTTATTGGCCATGCACCTGAAAAGACTGCACAAATATGTGAAAGTGTGCTCATGCATCTACCTTTCCTGTATGAGTGTGTATTGGCCATGCTGAGACGACCGTTTTCTCTGCGTACTCTCTCAACAGATCGGATTTGGAACACAGGGTGCGGAACTTCTGAAACATCCAATCACAACACAGCACTGTTAGGAATGAATCAATAAGAACTTACAGCAATAAACACCTGATATACAGTAAAACCACAATTCTTACGGTGTTATCTGTAAGTCCTCTGAGTATACCTGGTTTTGCATAAGCATACCTGTAAAAAAGCAAAGATATATTATTTAAGATTTATTATTATTTTTTGTTTATTATATTTTAATTTGTACAAAAGCTGCTTTCCAGGATATTACTTATTAATATTCATTTATTTATTATTATTATTATTTAATTTACTTTTTAATAAGAGTTGCTTTCCAGGATAATAATTTTTTTAAATGCAGTGAAATTCATGTTTTTGCGTGACTTCAATGTCTAAACACTATCAACTCTGCATGTGTATGTTTGTTGTTCTTACTCTTTAATAAACTCTGTGTGTGTTATTGAGTTCACATCTCTGATCTCAATGTAGCACTCGCCTTCATCCTCAATACTGGAATCCAGTCCCCTGAAAAACAAAACAAAATCAATCTCACTCACACTGCTTTTTTTTTTAATTAGGTGATCAAATTGCATGGTGTCTGGATTTGAGATGGATCACAGTGTCTGTGTTTCAAAACAAAGTGACTGGCTTGGTTTTGAGACAAGGCCAGTGATCCACATGATATTTCTCTCACCACCCTCCATTATCTCCACCGGGGGCATCAATGCAATGAAATGAAGCCAGTAACTGCACTAAGAGGAGCAGTAAAAGAGCTCTGACAGCCTGATCCATGTTTCTTCATCACCTGACTGTTTCATAGGTGTTCGAAATGGCATACTTGCTTACTGCTTACTGCCCAATACACAGTGCATACTGCCTACTACTAGTATCCAATAAGCAATAAATGTTTCAGAGTAGTATGCTTAAGTGCTGTCACATGACAAACACTGAACATTAATTCAGCACAGCTGTCAATGTTGTTAACTTAGAAACAAATGAGCTAACTGGAAATAATATATAAGAATAGTATATAATATAATGCCTCCAGGGAACTTCGATCAACTAGTAGTCTTCAGTTGACTGTTCCAAGGTCACACTTGAAATCGAAAGGAGATCGTGCCTTTTCAGTGGCTGCTCCACAGCTATGGAACAAGTTGCCACCCTACATAAGAACTGCACCAACATACGCTGATTTTAAGTCTCTTCTTAAAACTTATTTATTTACTGTTGCTTATGGTCATAAGTAAGCGCAGTGGCATAACTGTAGTGTACTGTCTGTCGCTGTGTTCTATTTTTACTTTTGTATATTGTATTTTGTACAGCACTTTGGCCAACAGCTGTTGTTTTTAATAATAATATTAATAAAACGTTTATATATTAAATGCATGCAAATGAAAATGGAAAAGTATGACGGTAGGAACCAATGTGCTCAGTGTGAAGTCGAACACGGTCAGTAAACACAGTCGCGCCGCTCTGTCTGTCTGTCATTGGTGTCAGTCTTCTATACTCTTTGTTGGTGTCCCACAAGAAGGGAACATGAGGAGGTGTCCTCTAACATCATACTGCTGCTGCTGCTGCTGTGCACTCATAAGAGAACCTCACAAAAAGCAGATTCTGCAGAGGAACTCGGTGCACACTAAAGTGCACACAAGGAAGGTATGTTTACGTTTTAAACGTCTGCTTAGTGTGTGTGACGTTAGTAGCAGCGCAACACCTGGCTGTGTCTCAATCCATAAAGTGCTGCTTACCAAGACAACATTTTTGGGCATCATAAGCACGTCCCGG